ATTAAAGTAACAGTATACCAAATTTCAGATCAACCGGACCTATGGATTTTAGTAAGATCCCTTCATCACCTAGGAAGTGAGCTGATGATCTTCAAAATTTATAACCAAGAACCATCTCGATCACATCGGCTTTCGAACAAAGAATCCGTATCACAGACAGACAAACATATACACAGATACGCAGATACACAGGTTAAACTTATTTGTTGACTGCACATATGGCGTAGTGGTTTAAACGGTCGCCACGGCGCTCCCTACTACGCTGAGTGTTGTGGATCCGATCCCCATATGGGACAACACTTTGTGTGATCCACAAATTGTTGTTCTGAGTCTGGGTGTTCTTTGTGTCCGTTTCATGTATGTTTGTAAAGTCCCCCGCGACACAGGATATATTCCTAATGTGGGAGTTGTCTTTAAAACGACCGTTAATAGACCGTGCTCATCACACAATTATTTGTCCTGGGTAGGGATCGATCCCATGGCTTAGTAGTCAGGATGACTACCTACTAGACCAACAGGCCCGTCATCCATAATCATCATACAATGATATGTATAGCTTTGTAATTATTGTGAAGTGCGTGAAATAAATAACTCAAAGTCATTAATAAATTAGCAATATTGCAATCAAAGTTATATTCTGTAAAACAATCAGAAAAACAAACAGAAAAACAAACACAAAAAATTAATACATTTATTTTGCTTAATGTTAATTTTAATTATAAGGAAGCACCACGACTAATACAAAAAAAAAAACAAATATGAAAGTAGGTGAACCGTCCTCATGTCCGTCGGTTATCACGATAATTAGTAACCTATGTCTTTCCTCAAGAATCAAAGCCTCTCCATGGCAAATATCATTAAAATTGGTTCAGTGGTTATTGATTTCTTTTACAAACTTCCATCCCTCTTTTCACCCCCTTAAAGGGTAAAATCCGTGTGGTGACGGATTAAGAATACAGAGTGTCACCACCCCCATTCATCCGTCGTGTCGTAAGAGACGACTAAGGGAAACTACGCAGAACAACAGCACTGCAGGGAGAAGGAAAACTTGACACAAACGCTATACCAACCCGTCTGGCCAGCGTGGTATAGTAGGCCAAAACCTCCTTTCTAAGGAGAGGCTTATGTCCAGCAGTGGACTATTATAGGCTCTTGATGATGATGATGATGAAAGGGTAATTTCTGGGAATTGTTTTACCTGTTTGTTGTACCTATTCCAAGTGTTTACAAACGCTTGGATGCACATCCACGCTTGCGAGTGTGCTATTATGTTCCGGACAGGCAAACATAGCAAACGTGGACATATTTTTATACAAAATATAAACGGCTGCACTAAACTACAAAAAGAACCATACTGCTCAAATAAACTGCTCAATCAGTAAAAGCATTGAGACTTAATGTTGATTGCCGGCTACTCAACTACAATATTTGTAATATCAAATCAAGCAGTAGGGAACAAACACGCGCCAACGTGTAAATACGTCGCAAACGCTTGCCGCGAGCTTCGTTTGATCTGTGTTCAAAACACTCGTACCGACCGACGACGAGCATACGCGAGCCGAGCCAAACACCCCGTTTACAGGCTTGTGTTTGTGGACACTTGTCGAGGCTCGCCATGCGTGTAAACGGCCTATAAAACAATTTTTACCTATTTTATTTATTTATTTACTTACAACTTTATTGCACTTATGTACAACGGCGGGCTTAATGCCCAAGGCATTCTCTACCAGCCAACCTTTGGGGGGTGTAGAACTCAGGTGAGGTAGGTGCACTGAGGTTGCAGTTGCTATAGCAGTTATAACTAACATATACAATTACACACATATACATATATTGGTATAAATACACATAAAATACATACACTTTATGTTCGTACACTGTAAATATGGTGGTGTACTATTAAGTAGGTAATTCCGACAGCTGAAGAAGTATCATTAATAATATAATATAATAATATATTGTACCACATTCACACAACGCCATCTAGTCCCAAACTAAACAGAGCTTGTACTATGGCTACTGGATAACTGATATAAATACATTATATACTTTTTTTTTGTAAATACATACATATTATACATAGAAACACCCAGACCAAAACAAACATCAAATGTTCATGCACACAAATGTTTGACTTGAGCGGGAATCGAACCCGCGACCTTTGGAATAGCAGTCCGTTACACAAACCACTACGCCATCCAGTCGTCAATTAATAATAATAATAATATTATTTTAATCAATTTGTCCGTTTTATGTATATTTATAAAGTCCCAAGCGACACAGGATACATTTCTAGTGCGGTTTAATATAATAATTATATTATATTAAACCGCACTATTATATATATTATATTATAATAAATATAATAGTGCGATTATACCTTCCTTTTCTCTTTAAATAGACAGCGTCTATTTAAAGAGAAAAGGAAGGTATAATCGATAAAAAAAAAAACTATGTGAAATTCGGTCTCACAATGTAATACTACCGCACATTGTGTAAGAATTACTTTTAACTATAATATTTCTTACCATTCATCGTGCGTTTTTTTTATCATGTGGGAATATCTAACACTGCACATGTCTAAGGTTGAGAATTGAAAGCTTTTTTCCTTACTACTTACTTTATATGAATTAGCCAGTATAGAAACAAAAGAAGAAAAACATTTACTAAGTGCTAGCTGTACCCTTTTTTTTCTTTTTTCCGTGCGGAAATCCCCTCGGATACCACCTATCGGTGGTATGTCGGACTCGAACCGACTAAAACCGCACGCCGTCTCGGGTACTAATAGCCGGGGAACCAGGTTTACCCTAGAAAGGAAGTCAAATTGCTAGCTGTACCCTGTCCCGTTTCGCTGTAACACGTGGTTGCATTAATAAAAAAGAACTAAGGAAACTGACGCGAAAGACAATAAATACAATATTTAGCAGTTTGTCTTAGATAATTATAAATAATCATCATCATCATTTGAGCTTACGATATGCAGAACTTTTGAGTTTTCGAAGCGTACACAAATCAACACTGCAGAGAGAAGGAAAACTTGAAACAAACCCTATACCAACCCGTCTGGCCAGCGTGGTATAGTAGGCCAAAACCTCCTTTCTAAGGGGAGGCCTATGTCCAGCAGTGGACTATTAAAGGCTGTTGATGATGATGATGATGATGACACAAATCAACTTAAGATTATTATATAGAGGTTTAGATATAGATAGATTAACATCAAAAAAGGTTTTAGAGGTTTGGAGTCTCATTGGGTTTCAAATAATTTGGGTTAAAAAGTTACAAAGTCAACACTAAATTTTCTACACAAAATTTGTGTTCACATGAGTAAAACCGCCAAAACGTGATGCCCGTGCCTAGAAAAAAAAAGCAGATAATAAGATACAGATTTTTTAATAACACGAACATTGTTTTTTTTTTGTTAACCGGGTGGAAGATCCCCATGGATGTCCCTCGCCCATGGGGATGGCGAAGGGGTCTGTTGGACTCTTACCGACTAACAAACCACCCCGATGTTCCTCTCCTTACCAATGGCCGGGGTAACGAGAATCGCAATTGCATTCTTCCACCATCCCCGACAGGCATTGACCAGTCTCACCCACGACAGGTCTCGTCACCCAATAATACTCAGTCTTAGAATACTTACAAATAAATTCGTATATATTCTTGCTGCAAACGACGCAAAGCTGTAAAATAAATTTATAATTTAATACGTTTATTCAGACTTGAACAAATTCACCAGCTATCGATAATGAATCGTTAATAAATAAGAAATAATAATTTTCATCTCAGTAAAATTAAAATTTATGTTCTTAGGTTGAGCAAAAAATATTGTATTCGACATCATTTCTCAAGGAGATTTTACCAATGTATAAATTGTTTTAATTAGAAACCAACTGAAAAATATGTAGGTAATAGCCGCTTTCATAGATGGCGTTGTAATTAAAATCGTGTCGAATCAGTTTTACTCGATCGTCACAACTTCGTTCCTATCGGGTGTCCCACGACACCCTTTTATATATGATTGTGAACTGAAATAATGATATTAATCATTCGACACATCTGATACAGAGCCGTTAGATCCCAAACTAGACAGAGCCTATAACTATACTTACTCATAAATATATTACTAAATACATACATCCACATTAAAGAAGATAATAAAAAAGAACCCAGACAGAGAACAAATGATGGTGCTCATCATATTGGTCCAGAATGGGAATTAAACCTACTACCACTGGCTCCGTAATCAGTATTACTAACAACGAAGCTAAACCTTGTCGTTGATTCATGAGAATTAGTTAAAATATTGAAAAAGAAATATTGAGATAAAATGAGAATAGAAACATTGTAGATAAACTCTCGGATAATCCACTGAAATGTAAAAAATGCTTGTCAAAAAGGTTTACCGTACAAAAGAAGGAAATAAAAATATTACTTACAAAAAATATTATGTATAAATTTTTTAATCTACATTGTATTATATACAAAGCGAGTGATGGCGGTGACACATAAACCATCTGATTTTTTTTTTACTGTTGCTACTACTTTACCTGTGCCATGAATGAAAAAAAATTTTTTTTGGTAATTTTTGACTAATTATGAAGTTGAAATTGATGTCTTTGTCAAGCCAGACCACAAGAGCCTCGCCTATGTCCCTCCCATGATTATAGGACAGACATACAGGTACTCTACTCCGGCCTCTCCGAGCTTCTGCAGTCTCAGACGTCTCAGCCTTGTCTATCCACACGAGATTTGTAGTATCTTTTTCCAAACCTTCTTCGTCCTATCCAGTTTCCTTACCTGAGTTAACCTGCTTTCTATATTCTGTTTAAAAACGAGATAGATATATTCTTAAAGTCAGTACGAAAGGAAACCAAAAAAAAAACAGCTAATAACCTTTTAGACTTCCTTCTTAAATTGAATTGGCAGAAGAGCAGAAAGATGATGATATTTCTATGTCTGATAATATTTTTATTTAATTTAAAATTGTCTGCTTTCAGGTACTTCTGCTGTTCGCAGCAGTTGCTTCTCACAAGTTTGTGGTGGGTTTCTGTCTCGGTGCAGAGCTGTGCGAGAATTTCCCCTCTCGTATCTGCACGCACATCTTCTGCGTCGCTTTGTTCAGTATGGGCTCAGTGGCAGGCATTGCCGTGGGTTCGGGCTTAGAGAGCGTCACTGCACTGAAGGATTCTGTCGCTGTACCCATTATGCAGGTAAAATTTTCATCCTTAAAGTACTTTTGTGGATAACACACAGTGTGTTGTCTCATATGAAGATCGAACTCTCAGCGCAGTAGGGAGGGGTGAGGTGACCGCTTAAACCACTACACCAACATTTTGTGCCCTATCTTTGCTAAATTTCATGAAAATCTGCTGAGTGGTTAATAAGTGAAAGCATGGCAAACAAACAAACAAATTTATGTTCAAATTTATAACATTACTTATTATCGTATTAGTTGTACCTAATTTTGTCCATCATGAACTTGCCAGTTGATTGATGGGTGGATAAATCACTATGTAACATGACGCCTCTTTTCTGATGTTCATTGTATTATTGTATGTCCAGCAGTGGACTGTTAGGGGCTTGTGTTAGTGCATTATTGGCAGCAGTGAATTAACTAAACCTTAGTTTAGTAGACTCGTAGGAACCTTCAAAGGCAATAGGACTACGGTTATTCTGGATTATAAATCCATCAGTTACCTCCATACCCAAAGAAACTAGTGAGTCATTTGCTCATTTACTAAGTAGCATTATAAGTTAGGCTGTGGTTATGAAAACATTACCTACAATTTAATCATCACACATAATAATAAATAATATTAATAAATTTATTTCAAATAAAGGTAGGTACTATAACACTTATACAAGCATAAAAATAATGTGTACAAACAGAAAAACATTATGGTAGTGTCAATGGAAACTGGTACCCATGGTAAAATCGAACTTGTGTTGTGTGTGTGTGTGTGTGTGTTTATGTGTGTGGACGTAAATATAAATATGAAGATAATGAAGAAATCTTCCATGGAGATTGTCAACAAGTTATATAGTGGCGCCATCTATTAACAAAATACTGTATACATTCCAGGGCTTAGCAGCTGGTACGCTTCTGTACGTAACAGTAAGTGAAGTATTGCCTCGCGAGAGGGCGCGATGGCACGAACGCAAACGAAGTGCTGGCATACTGCAGTTGATTTCAGTTGGAACAGGATTTGTACTTATGTATTTGACGACTCAATATTTAGGTAAGCAACTATTTAAAACATTTTATTTCTTATTTGAGATATACACTCAGTATTAATCCAGTTGTAAAAGAAACAATAGTTCGAGAGCTTTTGCTACTCGACGTGAGATGGCGCTATCGGAAGTAATTTAATATTAATATTCATTAAAATGAATCATTGATGTTAATAAAAAAAGTATCAAAGTAATTAGATGTGCAAAAACCCTTACCCCTTTTATATACTCATTCACTGAAACTGTATAGTCGTGTGTTCCAATTGCTACTATTAGTAATAGTTGAAATAATATAAATATTCTATTGATTTCAGATCACGATGCTAACTGATCCAACTCTTCACCGAATTCGCCATAGAACTAGTAATTACATATTAAATTACTTATGTATTAAGAAAAAGCTACTTAAGTTTCGTTTAGAATTGATGTTCAACATCGATATTAAAATTACTTAAGGTTTTTTAGTATTTTTTTTATATTTTGTAAAAATGTGACTTTAGGAAATAAGGAGACAATAAAATAACTTTTGCTATTACAGTATTTTATTTTATAAGTTTGTTTTTGATGTCAACAATAAAGTAACGTATAGTTGTGATGTATTTTTGATGAAATTAAAAAAAAATTATGACATTTTGGCACTTTATTGTAACTTTCTATATTTAGTTGTGAAGACACTATAATTTGATGATAAGTACATTGAATGTCAACTGGCGATAAAACTATATCATGCATTTAACAAAGTATTCTACAACTGCTAACAGACCAGTAAATTGGTCTTTACTGGTTCATACATTAAAATTAGTAAATGGCACTGTTTTGCGTACCTAATGCTAGACAAGTTAGGTGGGTGAAGCGACATCTAGTTCCGATAACGTAAACGACATGTTTACAGCTACTCTCTAAGAGATGGCGCTACACGAAGTTTGATTCGGAAGGCGTAACCGTAATTACAAAAATATTCAATCATTTTGATATAATACATCTAAATGCACAAAATAATCTCAGTCCACAATACTATTGCGTTATTTACATACATCAAATATATTTTATGGAAGCGATTTCTACGTACAAACTAACATTCATACTGTGTTTCGGAATACCTCGTATTAGACAGTATAAATAGAATGAAATTAAACCTTAAAAGTAACTAAATTTTTAAATACAATAAAAGTATTACAAAATAGAAAATAATACAGATCTTTGACTCGACGCACTTAAATCTAAAAAGTAAGTACTGTTACAATAATAACAAAAATTATAAATTGTTAACTTTGAATAAATATTCTTAAGTTTAAGGGGAAGAGAGCATTATAATCAGTGGAACGACTAACTTGCGATGTTCTTCGTGTGAAACAACCTTTACCAGACAAAATCACCAATCACTAATTACACTCACATAAGTAAGTATAAAAAACTGTGATTGAAATAAGTCAAAGTTACCATTATGTATATTATTGCATGCAGAAATATCCAAATTTGTTCGAAAAGGTCAAAACTAAAGCCAACTCAGGGCAAAAAGCGGTGTTTTATATTTTTGGAAAATATATTCGAGTTAATATATGTCCGGGTAGGGACTTAAGGGACAAACACGTTGATCACGCTGATTAGACTTCGGTTTAACCAGCGTGACACCAGACTATCTGACTCACCCGTCACCAAGTACAATAATGTACTATGTAGTATGTACTATATACATAACACATGTCATTACATCACATCATCACATCAACAGCCTTTAATAGTCCACTGCTGGGCATAAGACTCTCCTTAGAAAGGAGGTTTTGGCCTATTATACCACGCTGGCCAGACGGGTTGGTAAAAGGTTTGTGTCAAGTTTTCCTTCTCTCTGCAGTGTTGTTGTTCTGCGTAGTTTTCTCCCTTAGTCGGCTCTTACGACACCCACGGGATGAATGTGACACTCTGTATTCTTAATCGGTCACCACATGGCATTACAGATTTGTATGAATGTCACTTTTCACTTTTTTCGAAAACTCAACTAAATATGAACAGGTTGTTAGCAGAAACAGTTTTTTAAATATTGCTATCTCGATTCATCCGAAGCAATAATAGACACGACAGAAAGAGACCACACTATTTAAAACTCATCTTTAAGAACAACACAAAGTTCATATTTAAGTTTACTTAAAATTAATTATTGTAATAAGTTTCGTAACTTTTGTAACTATTTTAAATAAGGGTTATTTCACAGGACGAACACCGCGTGACCGCACTACGTGACCTTACAGAAAATGTTTATTAGAACTGATCACAGACTGCGTTACTGTTACTATATCTTATCATAATAAAGTTATTGAAAGTGTTGTGACAAACGTAGTGAAGTTTATTAAAACTATACATCTCGATCTACCGGTAACTCTTACATATATATGCGTAGTGATGGCTCGCGTCATGCAGAATTATTCGACTAAGAGTGTAACGAAAAATACCTTTTTTTTTTAACTTAAAATAATCATGCTGTCATGAATTTATCAAAAAAAAAGTAATTTCAGTTGCAGTAAGTATTCTTGAACATTTATTTATTTGTGACGTCAGCCATCACACTAATTAATGAATACAGATAATGTTATATTGAAAATTTGAACAATTCCCAGACAGTATACTATTATTATCTAAGGCACAAATAAAGGCACTTTAATTTCAAAAGATCGAGGCTAACTAAACGGACTACAACAAGAAGCGTAATACAGACAAAAAATAAAATAAATACATTAATAGACCGACCGAGCTGCACCGACCAAGCTCTTAACTTGATGTAGGTAACGAAAAACGATCCACAGAATCCGAACACAAACAAACACAACTTTGCTGACGTTAATATATTTTACACGAACTAAACGAAAACATCAGAAAAGGTATATTTGTAAACGTAATACTATGGGATGATCCCAAATTTGTTCAAAGTCCCGATTGGATTACACTAGCACAAAACCTACAGTCAGGTTTCATCGTCTTCGGTGACCCTCCTGTTCCTCTTGCGCTGCTTGTGTCTTCTACGGGAGGGTTTGTTTGATTTATTAGGTTTGATTTGGCACTCACAACCAGCACGCACTCTCACATAGTCCATTGACCAGCCACCAGAGCCGGGCACGAAGAAATGTCCCTCGCTCCGCGGTTGAGGCGTTTCCGTAGCTGGCGATTGGAGATGACGCACAAGGGCGTATGAGTACGAAAACTTTTGAATGCATCTGGACTCGTTGTACAGTCTGGCATCGACAAAACGGCACGGTTTGTCGACAACGTTAGGAGCACAAGAAATTTCAAACAACCTTTGCTGGTTTTCACCATCCTCGTAGAGTTCTACGTAGTGGCCGGTGGGGGTTCGGCCGCCCTTCTTGGTGACCATTTCGAGGACTGAAGGGCAGCACTGAACCCCGTCTTTCTGATTGCCCTCGTGCCGCAGAATGTACTGCATGTCGCGCCAGTGGGAACGCTTCCACGACGCAGCTGGTGACATGTCTAACTCCTCGTCCGTCCTGGAAATAGAAAAGTATAATATATACAAGAGGAAAATTTAATGATTATCAGATTATTGGCAGCTGTTATTTGTGATCTTGATCATAATCATGTAAATACAACTCTTAACACAAAAATGACACACAAACCAAAAAATATCTGCGTGTTATTTCGTTATTCATTCAAAATAGTTTCTTCAATTTTTTTTAAAATTAATCTTTATCCTAATCTTAGCTTTTTGAATTTAATTAAGGGTTTACGTTTGAAGTTTAGTTATAGATATTTATAAAAAGTATACGTACACCACGCGGTGCGAGTAGTGGGGTTGGGGCGCGCGACGTACGCGGCTCACGTTGGCTATCACGTCGCCCGCGTCTGCCACTGCACCACACAGCACCTGGAACAAGTTAATACACCTTTTAAATAAAGAAATATATCTTCTTCAACGAATTCGTAGTTCAACACTTGACTGCACGGATGGCGTAGTGGTTTAAGCGGTCGCCACGCCGCTTCCTACTACGCCGAGTGTTGTGGGTTCAAACCCCACATGAAACGACACTTTGTGTGATCCACAAATTGTTGTTCTGAGTCTGGGTGTTCTTTGTGTCCGTTTCATGTATGTTTGTAAAGTCCCCCCCGAACCAGGATTTATGCCTAATGCGGGAGTTGTCTTTAAAAAAAAAAAAAACATTCTACAACTAAATTATGTGTTAATTTCTATGCATTGATGGTCACAGTCTGTTCAAACGCTCAAAGCAATGCGATTTCATACATAATCGATTTAAAACTTAACAACCATATTCTGAAGGCACAAATCGATTATAAGGATATCTGGCGAGACACTTGGCATCATCGTCATGCAAGCTCTAGTGTTGTATAAAAGTTTTGAATCTCAAGAGATTTATTTGTACATTGAGAAACGCAATTAGGTGCAAGATTATCAGTTACTAGTCTAGAATGGGCAAAAATATACTATGTGTTTAATAAATATACTATGTAATTAAATATACTATGTACTAATCTCATTTTAATTTGTGTCTATTAATCGTAAACGGGTTGATAGAGGCTTAAAGTAATCTTCTAATGCACAAGATCATAAATAAGAAAATACAAACTACGGTACAAGGTGTGCAAAGGTTGAGATGTAAGACTTCCAAGTGATATCATGATCGAACGCCACTCTGAAAGCTATTAACATGAACCCAGTACTAGCATAGGCATTTAGAATAACATAGTCGCATATCTGATGTCCAAAATTTGACATCACTGACGTCTAACTTTAGCATCACGCGTGCCCATTAATCAAATAGAATAATGCGCGCTTTTCTGGCTTTCTGTTCACCTTTGTCCCTTTTTCACTCTCACAGATTAATCTTACTCATCAAAAACAAAAATCAGATTATCATATCTTCAAGACAGTTACTGTACCACAGTAATAATAGCAAAGCCATGTAAGTGTTGTAACTAAAGTTTTACTCCAGATCAGACAAAGATAGTGCTCTATTTTTTTCTGCTTCTGTGAATGTATTTGACATAAAGGGAGCATAAACAAAACCACAGACAACGCTCGACACATAACTTACAAAGCGCGCGTTTCTTGACATCATATTTAACAACAAATGTCAGATTCTGAGTCCACTATATCATTATTACGTAGCAACAATTTCTACTGTAAAATAATATTATTGTACCAGCTCCTGAACAAAACAGCAATAAATTTACAACCTTATTTTGTGAATGGTAATGTTTATTTTGAGAAATGTGTTGGTTATAGGCATAATGTTTTGTGGATGAAGAAATTGACATATTGAGTACATGGAGTTGATTCGTCAAAATGTTTGTAGTCTGAAGAGATTTAGGTTAATTCTGATTTCAAAATATCATTTCAAGCTAGTTAGAATGTTAATAATAGTTATTATAAACAGGTTGAGGGATTTCTAGCAATAAGTTAATAACCAGTTGGGTAAATGACTGTCAACTCAAATCAGTATCTTCTTATTATTAAACGTCAAAACGATAGACGAGTGACATTTTTGTAAGAAACACTATGGCGTTACGTCATACCCTGTTATTGTCAAATCATTTATAAAAATATGTAATGTCGAATAATGGTGCTGATTCTGTTGTTCGAAAACTCTCTAAACTAAACTAAAAATCACTAAAAATTTGTTTAGTCTGTCAAACAACGTTTCCTACTGTGAAAACCTAATATTTGTCAGGACAAAAATGATTTTTAGTGAAATTTAGTTTAGTTTAGAGAGTTTTCGAATAACAGAATTAGTACCAATGTCGCTTTGAAGATATAAAAATACGGAGTGTCACGACCCCTATTAATCGCATGGGTGTCGTAAGAGGCGACTGAAGGGGCAAACTACGCAGGACGACTTGCCGCCATTGTTCCACACGGCAAAACTTTCATCCTCATCACCTGGATAGTTGGCGCTCCACTACAACAGCACTGTAAAGAGAAGCAAAACTTGACACAAACCCTTTTTTTTACCCTATATCAACCCACCAACACCACAACTGGTATAGGAGACCAAAACGTCCTTTCTAAGGAGAGGACTATGTCCAGAAGTGGACTACTAAAGGCTGCTGACAATTCCTAATCCATCCCTTTGCACAATTTCCTTTTCCTACCATAGCTTTCTCTTCATTTCTACCTGACCTTTCAATATACTTCAATTTGAGACAGACAGATTAAAGCTTTTATTTTGATTTTAAGTTTTTATAAAACAGTGACTTCGTGAACTGCAATAAAGCGATTTTTTTTTGATATTAAGAACTTTACATCTTCAGAAATATGGAAATCAGAAGACAGCTTCGGAAAAATAAAAAGATTTTTGTTTCGAGTAAAAAAAAAATATTGTAGGCACTTTCTGTCTCTATACTTTACACATATCATCATCATCAACAGCCTTTAACAGTCCACTGCTGGACATAGGCCTCTCCTTAGAAAGGACGTTTTGGCCTACTATACCACGCTGGCCAGACGGGTTGGTATAGGGTTTGTGTCAAGTTTTCCTTCTTCTTTGTTTTTCCTTACACATAATGATTGAGAGAAATTCATTTCATGCAAACTCTTATACTCTGAGTATAATAAAAAATAATATTATGTAAAACCGACATCTAAATAATTAATAAACGCACTAATTTGATCACCCAAGTTGAGGATTAATATCATTATAACCCGGCCATATTTTTAACATTCACAAATCACACGATTTACATAAATAACATAATCACCGTCACAAATCAAAATTAGTATATTTAACTTAGATAATAAATGAATAAAAAGGTTAAACGCGTTAAACATGAATTATTATATTCACTGAATTCCATCGCTCAAAACACAGTGCAATTACTGCGCAAACGGTATTAACGTGTTTACGTGATTTTTTTAAACATTCTTCTTTTAATTTTTTTTTAACAATCCTGACTTCCTAATCAACATCACATCTAAAGCCTTTAACAGTCCACTGCTGGACATAAGCCTCTCCTTAGAAAGGAGGTTTTGGCCTACTTTACCACGCTGGCCAGACGGGTTAGTATAGGGTTTGTGCTAAGTTTTACTTCCATTTGCAGGACTGTTGTCCTGCGTAGTTTGCGCCCTTAGTCGGTTCTTACTACACCTACGGGATGAATAGATGTGGTGACACTTGTACGTACCTTTATTATGACAATTAATTAGAACGCCTAATTAGTTCCGTTACCAAATTTATTAGCCAATTACAAAATATCAATATACTACAGCAATAAAAAAATGAAAATCAAAATTAATATATAAAACTTGATGAACAGCCTGAGGTATATTGGAAATTGATTAATGGTAATTGTTTTTAAAACAGTTATCATTCAACTTATGTGTTTTTTTTTCACGTTTTGTATATTTTAAAATGGTAGATCATAGTTTCTTTTAATCTTTTGGTAATAGGTTGAAGTACCTACTCTTATAAATAGTTTTATAGCGTTTATTTACTTCCCCTAATATAGACGTTGACTTAAAATGTCTTCATAAGGCCCAGTTTCATCATTATGATTTATAATAAATAAATGGTCTTGAGTATCGTAATAGATATTTTGTTTTACAATTTTGTCTAATTTACATATATTACGAAACAGACGCTACCAATTACAATAATTAACATCGTTCTTGTGGCAATAAATTGAATCCCACATAAGTAATAATAATTATTACCAAAAGGCTTTTGTTTTATCGTCAAAGTTGAAACGGTTTAGGATTTCTTAGGAAATAAATAAGTGTACATATATGTTACAGTCAGAACTCGTAATAGGGCAAAAGCATTTTAGCCGGCAAATTCAGTCAAAACTACTTTTGACTGCAACATCATACTGTTATAAGCTCATCCAACCTAAATATAGACTGCCTCGGTAGTAAAGTGGTAGCGTATGCGACTGCTGTGATGAGGTCTCGGGTTTGATTCCCCGGTTGGATCAAATGTTAGTATGATCTGCAAAATATTTGTTTTTGTATGAGTGTTTTCTATGTACTCGTATAATATACGAAAAATAAATGTATATACGTATTTTATCAATCATTCTAGATTTCATAATACAAGCTCTGCATAGTTTGAAACTAGATCGCGTTGTGTGTCAGATGTCCGAGAATATTATTATTTTAAAATGTCCAGTCCAAAAGTGACTATCGCTGACCATGGACACATACAACTTAAGGAGCAAGGTCTTAGCCGCCCTTTGTGTCTCCTCCAGAGAGAGGAGGGATCCCAAAGTCCATTTGGTGTTGGTGGTTAGTGGCCCTGACTGCTAAGCCGGAGGTCGTGGGTTCGATTCCCACCCAGGACAAATATTGTGTGATGAGCACGGTCATTTGTTCTGTGTCTGGGTGTAATTTATCTATGATATGTATGTATTTAAAAATATATAAGTATGTTTATCAGCAGTCTGCTTCCCATAGCACAGGCTCTGCCTAGTTTGGGATCAGACGGCCGTGTGTGAGATGTGTTAAACAAATAAAAAATAAAATAAAAAAAATTGTGGGACCCCCCAAAGTGGATGATGTTGGGTTATATTTAAGACTAGGTTTTGCCCGCGGCTCCGCTTGCGTGTAGGTCGGTTTTGGCGGCAAAAAGTAGCCTATGTTACTCGCTGATAAAGTAGCTTTCCATTGATGAAAGAATTTATTAAATCGGTTTAGTGGTTTAGGCGTGAAAGCCTAACAAACAAACTAACGCACTTTCACATTGGTAATATAAGTATGGTAGTATTGAAACGATGTTTATGAAAAAAACATTCAGTGTTTTTTATACCTGTACAATGTAATATCATAAAATACTTAATTTAAGTCGATATGTCTTATGTATGTATTTTCAAATCAATGTCAGTTCGTTTGCGGGACATAAGCAGGACTTTGATGTTTGTTCTTGTTTCTTGACTAAGTGTTTATTTTCCAAAACACAAATAGGTGTATCATGCATCAGTATTATTAAAGTTTTTACCATTTAACGCATTAGCTGATAAGGCTATTCTTTCATCATCATCAGCAGCCTTTAACAGTCCACTGCTGAACATAGGCCTCTCCTTAGAAAGGAGGTTTTGGCCTACTATACTATACCAGACGGGTTGATATAGGGTTTGTATCAAGTTTTCCTTCTCTTTACAGTGCTGTTGTGCTGCGTAGTTTGCTCCCTTAGTCGGTTCTTACGACACCCACGGGATGGGGTATGGCGTATTCTTAATCCGTCACCACACGGATTACGAAGGCTAAGGCTATTCTTTAATTATCCAAAACCTTGGAGACAAGTCCAAATAATGTTTAGTAAAAACATGCTAATTTAAGAGACAGGTTGCGCTGTGATATGTATCAGAATATTGTTTTTACTTTACTTCTTTAGCTCTCAAGAGATTGTCGTCATGAGGAATTATGATCTTACTCTTAAAAACTACAATTCTTGTTATTACTAATCATTACTCAGGAGGTCAGACTTTATTGATTAGAATCCGATTTCAACACGGGGACCGTTCTAATATATTGCAGACAAATAGGAACTACTTTCTGGTTATTCTCTATAATTACGGGTCGTTTCATGCCTTAGCATCGAGATACTTAAATTCCCGCCTTTTATTATCCAAATAACAACCAATAAGCCTTGTCTTTCGAAACTTTAGTACTAATACTATACCTAAAAAGGCTTGTTTCAGATTCAGAGACCTCATTAAATTATAGTAAAAACATCACTTCGTTGCCATTACAAGACTAAACTTGTTGAGGGTTGCACAAAATGACACCTACGTGTGTCGACAACAGAGTTTCAATTTAAGTTATTACTTGGGGTCTTAAGTTAATTGTCAATAAATACATCGTAAAAGTCAATTTAATCAATGAGAAGTGTTATCTAGAAAATTTTATTTGGACTCTGTATTTAAAGATGTAAAGTTTCCATTTGTTTGATGTCAAAGCTTGGACTGTTTTTATGACACCAGTATTGAGTTTGGATAGTAATATACTAAAGATTTGTTTATCACATATATATATGAATAAAACATAAAGTGATAAGTTAGGCAATGATTTGTGGGGGGCAGGGCAAAGAAATAAAAATTTAATTAAAAGTCACAACACCATGAAAAG